TGTAATGGCGTTTAGATGTATGTTTCTATGGGCCACAGCAAACACTTACTATCATAATATGGAATATGCGCCCGCTTGTCATTCTTACTTTTATTAAAAAAAATAGCTTAATATATATTTTGTTCTCTAGCTATGCAGTTTTCCTTACGATGTTTCCTGAAAATTGTAATCATAACTGAAAATATTTACTATTTACTACTACTAAATATATTTAAGACGACTCCTTCCCCTGACCTACTAAGGTTTATCATAAAGCGTATTTGAAGTATTTTAGTTTTAGAGCGGTCGCTTTCGCCGCTAGAATGGAAAAGTTTTGTTTGTACGTATGAGATTAAATTCATTGATTAATCGTATTTTCAATTAATCGATAAAAAGTAGATCGATGAAATGCCATGCCGCTTTCGTATGATTTATACAAATTTATACTATACTTGTATAAATCTTTGTATTACTATTTTTTAATCTATTTTGAGATTTTTCTGAGGACTTCACGATGTACTTTCTAAATACTACTGGATACATTGCAATGTATTGAAGGCCATGAGATTTTCCTGCCAATTTCTTAGTCGAATATCACTAAACCCATCACCACAATTTCGTAAATATATCACACATACACACAGTAGGCTGCGTATGCAAAAAAATCCAGGCCAGAAACAATTATTTGTAGGTCATACACACACTAGTTTTGTGCGGAATTCGAACCCGTAGGTCGGCAACTACGTAGCTGTTTAATCTCTGCGCTACTGAGCCATCGTAGGTTTGTTAGAATGTTTGTCCCTCGATCAAGTCTTGGCTGGACAAGTTTTAATTAAATTAGGCATAGAAATCTTTTTATTTATTTTGTTTATTTATATTAAAATAAAAGAAATGTTTTAAAGTGTCAAAACCATTAAGGGCAAGCATTGGTTGATACCTAAGCTCATCGTGTTTGTGATGTCCCGTGTCTAGTAGTTGTCTTATCCAAACCATGATTTGTTTTGTTCATTTTAATAACAAAGGAATCTGTCACGAGCCAACGCTTTCAGCATCGAAAGCTTATAATTAAAAAAATGTAATACGATAATTTAGCCTGTGTAAACGAAACATTGCAATACGTAATACTTGATGTCCAAAATTTTAAAAATTTACTCTTGATACAATATCATCGATGATAAATCATCATCACTACAGCCCTTTACTAGTCCACTTACATCTAATATTTATTTATATAGTTAATAATACAATATAATTCATTTAAAATTATCATCCTTACTTACTCCAGACGTAAAACACCCGGTCAAAATCGAACATTTTGTCACAGTTACACATCTCGTGAACAAGTTGAGCGTTATGTTACAACTACCGGTATAGTTATAATGTGGACGTTAGACATGATTTTTGCCTTGTGCATATTGTATACCATATGATATATTTACACGTATCCTTTCCAGCCCAGTAGCTTTAAAAAGTATTTCAATGCAGCTTTAAAGAATTGGAGATATAAAATCTTACACCGATATAATGTCTTACACCTCTCTGTAGTTCGAAAGGTTTCGTACTCAAGTTTTGTACTCGTATAGCTTGGATGTACATACTAACAATTTAGCACTTGTATAGCTCCATCCAAATTTTGACTGATTATCATGGTCAGCATACGCCAGACACAATGGCAAGCATATTTATTGTATAACACTAAACCCTTTCAGGAAAAGATCTATTCAGGAGGCTGGAAGTCGTCGTGAAACGATTCGTAATGATGTCTAAAATAGCACGTAGAAGCGATTTGAAAGCAAATCGGTCTGTATCGGTATTCCACGTATTCCAACTGCTACAGAATGCTACAGAAAATCTGCTGTGCTGTTACATTTGTACAACTCCAGTCCTTAATCTTCTCGGTCCCACTGCAGTGCCCCGAAATTAACGATGTCACTGTAAGTCTTCAACTTTGCCAATTGCCCTCTTGCGGCACACAGATCTTTAGCGGATACTTTGTAGTCGTGATTCAGTTCAATTCTTTTTTCAATACGAGCTCTATTGAAGATGCATAAGTTTTTCTGCATACGTTTAGAGATTTTCTGCCGACTTCCAAAAAAGAGACAGTACTCAATTCGACTGTATGTTTTTTTTATGTGTGTTATTTCATAAATTTGTACTGGGTGAACCGATTTCGATGATTCTTTTTTTTTATGAAAGCTGATAGTTCTCGTGTGGTCCCATATGAATTTGATCAAGGCCAGACCAATAGTTTTTGAGTTATTCTCAAATAACTCAAAAACTATTGGTCGAAGTCGGCTGTACAAAATTTTAAATTTTAAATTATTATGTTCAACAGTCTATAAGTTCTCATGACTATGGTGTATACTTTCTCAAGAAATTCTCAGTTCAGCACGTAAAGCCGTTGGTCCTGCGCTTGATCCCTCCCCAGTCGTGTCAGCTTGCCGGACTATCCGGGTGAGAGAATAAGAGTGCACCTGCGCATACAAATCCGTTGAGACTACCTGCCGTTACCGATATTCGGTCTGGAAGACATTATTAGTCTTTAAGCTGGTATCAGATGAATACTACAGTTTCATTTCCTATCTAGCAGGCATATTAGATTCAGAGTGTTATCGGAAATATTTTGTATTCTGCTGCGGTGGGTCTTGCAATATTTAGCTCCGAAGGAATGGGCACTTTTAACAAGATTATCTCAAAATTATCAGCGAGCGGTGGAGTGGGCTATACTTGGAATTTCTCGAAGTGATAAAATACGTATACGTGGATATCCGCAGAACAAAAAGAGTAATTGACAAAGCCTGCGAATCAGTAGGCTGAAATGGCAATGGTCCGGAGATATAGCTCGAAGAACCGACGAACGATGTGTAATAAATATCCTCTAGTGGTGGTGTATCGGACTGGTTAGCAAAGTTTTAGCGTTGCTGATTGTCGATTTTGTACAGCCGACTTCAATATAAGTTATTAAGAATAACTCAAAAACTATTGGTCTGACCTTGATCAAATTCATATGGGACCACACGAGACACGAGAAGTAACAGCTTTCAAATAAAAAAAGAATCATCGAAATCGGTTCACCCATTAAAAATTTATGAGGTAATACACATTAAAAAAACATAACAGTCGAATTGAGTACCGTCTCCTTTTTGGAAGTCGTCAGAAAACACAATCAACACCGGTAACTATTTTACACTTAGCCAACGACATCTATGTCTCTACCTAAGCCATGGTTTTTAACAAAGCCATCGGTCAGTTATTGTGCGCGACGCTTATTATTTTGTTGTACGTAACACGTAACGGTAAAAAGGCACCATTTTCATGGTTCATGTGACACTGTTCCGACATGATGCAGGCTCGTAGTACGGTCATCTCGCTTGTATTTCCGTATTTAATCTTCATACTTTGAATCGTCGTTCTTAGGACTTTGGTAGATTTGTTCTAGTAGCTTAATATTAACTTAAAAGTTAAAAGATATATTTTCATATTTTAATGCCTGAAAACCTATAAGACCACATAGCAAATTTTAGTTGTTGAAAACAATTATATTATAAAATATACTATGAAGTGTAAGACCAGTATCAAGCACATATTTTTTTTTTATATATAAGAGGGGGCAAACGAGTATGCGGCTCCCCTGATGGTAAGTGACTACCGCTGTCCATGAACAACTGCCACAGCAAGAGAATTGCATTTACCATAATTTATTTTTTATTTTCACTAATTAAGACAATATTTTTAAATCTGTTGCTGTAAAATCACCAACTATTATGGATTGTAAAATATTATATTATTTACAATGCGTATATACTTGTGAATCAGCATGATCTGATTATTTGTTTACAATCTTTAATAAAATGACAATAGAAAAGCAACATACTTGACGATTCAACGTAGTCACGCTAGAGCTAAACAGATATTAAAATTACTTGTAATACATTGTCACTGTCAGGCTTAGGAACGATAGCTCAGGTCTTTTTAGTTCTTACAATTTTGTTGCATCAATTTGCAACTACTGACTGTGCTGACTGCTGACCCTTTTGTGTTTGTGAAAAGAAACAAAATCCGGATTTTATTATATTAATAAATATTTTTGGTGTTAGAAAAGATATATGATAATCTAATATGTAATCTTTCACTCAGCTAGTTTCGTAATATAAATTAATTAAAATTTGCATTTTTATTTTTACGCGACCACCCCAAAAGAAGAGTGATCTTTTTCGAATGTATGTATGTCTATATAGTTTTTTCGCTATGCAGCTTAAATGGCTTGATAGATTTCAGCGTATGGGCGTCGTTATATTCGTCTTAGTTGTGGAACAGATTGGTATAATTTTTTTTCTCTTTTTAGTAATTTTTTTTTTGCAGTCGGGTATTTATTAATTACTGTTTTAACCGTTGGGTTTTTATTGTCTAATTAAATATCTAAATAAGGCTATGGGACTTAGACTAAGTCAAATAATAAATTAAAAATAGACGAAAGCTTTTGAGACTCGCATAAATAGATAGAACAGGGAAATGAGACGCTCTTATAGACAAATAATTTATTCTATAATATTTGAATATACAATTAATATTAGTCTGTGATTGAACAGAATCCAACTACATAATTAATTACATCTGTTCGAAAACAATTATGAACTAACTTAAGGCACGGCGGACATTTCCTTACACTAAACCCCAACACTCAGAAATGACAGGTCCGTTCTATGCCTAGCAGTGGAACGTATATAGGCTGTGACATCACTTTACTATAGCATTAATTTTCCAGTAGCTTGTTGTATATGAACCAATATTCGCTTACGATCGAAAGCGCCCTGAAATAGAATAGATTAATTTTTATTTTATATTCATTATGAAACTCATTAAAAGTTATTTAAACTTTTACCACTAATTCGTAAATACATATTTATTCTGAAACCTTTTCCTTCCGCTCAAGTGTCCCATAACATTTACATATAGCTTATCTATTAATTTTTGTTATTCTTTTTATTTCCAAGTGAAATTAAAATATACCTTGTCCACAGACTGCGTCTATTTCGAGACGTCGTCGACGTCTCCGTACCAAATCCGGCGGATAGAAGAACTGAACAAGACGGCATCTGGCAACGTGGAAGCAAAAGTCATGTGCTTCTACAGGCGGCGGGACCTGCCGAACCCCCTTATACAGTTAGCTGATAAGCACCAACGTGAGTACAATTCGCGTAAACTTTCTGAGAGAAGTTCAATAGTGGCGTAATTCCGAAATCACTTTGTTGCAATCGCTATCATGACTCGATGATACCTATTTTATTTTTACTATTGAAATAGATTCCAGGCCTAGGCGACTAACGATCACGGCGATGTTCGAAAAAAATTCTCAAGGATGACATCTATCTAGATAAATTTATAAAGTAAAACATAATCTAATGACAATATTTCATCCTATATATTCATTCTTACGTGGTAGAGCCATGCTGCAGCAATATTAGAAGTATAGTTGTAGTACGAATGGGTCGGCTCGCCCGGGGAAGGACCACGCTCTCACAGAAAACTAGCGTAAAATAGCAGCTTAACGCTGCTGTGTTTCGTATGGTAAGTGTAGAGAACCGGAGACCCTTTTTACTGGCAAAGAGGCATTCCATCTTAGTCCTCACGGGTGACACCGCATCTGCATCTTGAGTCTTTATTGAGGATAGATGTAGATGTCTATGGGCTACAGCAACCACTTACCATCAGGTGGACTGTGTGCTCGTTTGTCACCCTATACTATAAAAAAAAAATATTTCATCCAAAACCTAGAAACCGTTTTCAAGAAACCAATTACCTACATACATAAATTTATAAATATACAAATATACAAAAATGCTTTGCAATTAGACTTTATTTTCTCTTAGGATTTAACTTTCAAGTAATCTTTTGCTAGGGTTCTTTTTACCTATTTTCACAGTTTTAAGCCTGTGTGAACTCGTGAAGTTTCGGATTGAAGAATATAGAAGGCCAAAATAATCAGACTATGAAACATTCTATGATGGTCCTCAGGGACGTCTTCTTTGTTTGAATTTGGCTGCAGATATTGCAGAACAATAGTGTAATAATATTTTACTTTACACTATTTTGTTTTGTTTTACACTGTTGTTACTGCGGAGTGCCTGACGGATCTTTCAAAGAAAGCGTTATTGACGTTGTGATCTCCCTACCATTTTGTGCATAACAATTACCGTGTATTTTTTAGTTTTAGGACAGTTTGGTTTTTGGACATTACAAATCAATTTAGACTTAAATCTAAAAATATGTATGTGTATTTAACGTATAGTATTTTAACTGAACATCTTTGAAGTTTTAAGTCGAAAGCATTTTTTGTGTTCGCAACTTACACATTTATACATTATACGGAATAACTGTATTATGTACTCACGGGGACTTTGTAATGAAATGAAGTTAATGGTTTAATATCGATTTTCAGTATGAAGTGATTAAATATGTTGAATGAGAGGGCAACAGTTATTTGGTGAAACGTTCTAATCTGCAAGTCGACGTTACATGGGTCGCTGCGGCTAAGGCGGCTACTTGATTCTTTTCTATAAATAGACGATTATACTACATTAAGAATGGCGTCTAGTAACTAATATACTCAGCGTGTGTCCAGAAGCTTCGATTTAATATTCAAATAACTGGCCGCTTCTATTTGCATTTTTTGAATATTAAAACCAACCTACTATAAGTTACTTATATTTTATTTTTAATTACCTATGGGTTTCAAAAATTTATGTGAAGTTTGTTGAAATCAAAATTGTTTAAATTAAACCTGGCTTTTTACGAAATAGACGACATATAAAATGTTTAAAAGACGATGTATTAAAATTTTAATTATATTTTATGTACAATACTTAATCGACGGATTCAACTCGGCTGGGTAGCGTTTGGGAAACTACGACACATTTTCTCGTCAGGTATACCTCAAAACTTGAAAACGAGATTGTACACCCAGTGTGTGTTGCCAGTGATGACTTGTGAATCTGAAGCGTAGTCCTTCACTTCTGGCCGTATGAGGAAGCCCAAGGTTGCGTGGCGAGCTATGGAAAGGGCTATACTCGGAGTTTCTCTGCGTGATAAATCTAGAAATGATATCCGCAGTAAAACCAGAGTGACCGATATAGCCCAACGGATTAGTAAGCTGAAGTGACAATTGGCCGGCCATATAGCTCGAAAAACCGACAACCGACGGGGAAAAGAGGTTCTCGAGTGGTACTCTCGTACCGGTAGGCTAAGTTATTAGATGGAGTAATGACCTTGGTGAGACATGCAAGAAGTCGCGGATGCAGGTGGCTCGAGACCGTGCGTTGTGGCATTCCTTGGGGGAGGCCTATGTTCAGCAGTGGACTTTTGTTAGGCTGTAATATATGATGAATTATTTAAAAAATAACAAAAGAACATAGATTGCCTTATAGGTGGCGATAGTTGCCACGCTTGGCCAGGCGGGTTGCCAACTGAAATCTTTTTTGTTTTGATGTTGTTACCAGGAAGATGTCGCTGTTCATCTCCTGTTTCGTTTGTCGCCTCTTACGACTCCACAGATTTAGACAAGTGGGTTCTCTTGCGTCGCGACTACCCGGCGAAAGCTCTTTATTTTCTGCCGACTTCCAAAAAGGAGACGGTACTCAATTCGACTGTATGGTTTTGTTTTTTTTTTATGTGTGTTACCTCATAACTTTTTACTTGGTGAACCGATTTCGATGATTCTTTTTTTATTTGAAAGCTGGTACTTCTTGTGTGGTCCCATATGAATTTATCAAGGTGAGACCAATAGTTTTTAAGTTATTCTTAATAACTTATATTGAAGTCTGCTCTACAAAATTTTTAATTTTAAATTATATCATATTTAACTACAGCAGAACGTGTCATCACTATACATATATATAACTAGATAACATCTAGCTATTTAACTTACCCGAGACCGTTCAGTTGCCTAGCAGTTATATCAGAAATAAACAGTTGATGATCACGCAAACATGACCGTTCGTCTGATACTTCTAATCCTTAGACATGACATGATTGACAAATGCTTACGATTTGTCAGGTCAATTATTGACATTACTTCATCAGTCCATAAAAGTCTACCACTGGTCATAGGCCTCTTACGTTTAAAAATAAAAATTCTTAATTTATGTAAATTATTAAAATGCTTGGATTTGTTAGCCAACCACTAAACCGCCTCTTGTTCCAGTTTTTTATTACATCAATCGCGTTATAGATAGAAAACTGGTTTATTGAATAATTGTTGAAAACTAATTATAATATAATTGTGTTTTTTGACATCGTGGCAAAGAAAATATACACTACGCGAAGTCGTGGTACAAAATTATTTTGACATTTTTATAACATGAAAGTAAAAAGTAACGTTAATAAATAAACCGCAACATATCTTCGCAGTATTAAATCCTGATGTGTGTTAAAATTTAATGATAGAGTATCAAATTATGTGCTCCAGACCGAATTTCGGTCACGGCGGTCAACCACAACGGAGACTAGCCAACTGCACAGGACAGGATTATAGTGCCTAAGTGTACGGTGCAAGCTTAATTGCACTCTCTATTCCCCTATTATCATAGTCCGATGCGTCGGTTATCGATAGAGATGGGGCGCAATACCAACCAAGGGCTTTAAGTGCTTCTCGAGGCACGGGGATAAAACACCGCCACCTTCCTGCCTCCGGGCTGCTACTGAAAATTTCTTGACAGAAAAAGCCATCTGATTTTGGTATGACCCGGGACCTCGATGATCAGCAACCGCGTTTACGATCACTAGATAGATCAACGAGGCAGGTCGAACGAGCGATCTGCCGCCACTGAATATTTAATACCATCTTATTAATTAGACTTCTTGTTCTTTAATCCGTAAAAGTCCACTGTTAGACATAAGCTTAGCCCTTTATATGAAGATTTCGCCTTAACTGTCACGTTTGGCTCAGTTCCGAACGTCTTTTTACCTTTGATACTCTCTCCGGTCTAGGTATTTTAAGCCCGGCGTAAACGAGGTGGTAGACAGTCTTCTATCAGAAGCGATAAGATTTTTCTGGCATTTTTCCATAAAAGCCATCACACCGCAAATAATCAACCGTGGGAACGTGTAACTCAGTTGCCAGCGTGCAACCTCCTTTTTGTGAAGTAGGACTACTCAATTGTAAACTTGAAGTAAACGTCTATCCTCCATTAAGCATCAAAATGCAGATGCATTGCCCCTGAGGATTAAACCTTAACATAAAAATGTCAGTACCTTGATACAATTAAAAAGGTTTTCGTTAACATAGCAACATAATTTGCTTCTAAACGCTTTTTCTTCTTATATTGTGCGAGATCGTCGTCCATCCTAGGTACAGCTGCAACTCGGCTCTAATACGTATTACGGTTTAGTTTATCTTATTTAGTAATGATGATGATTTCTTTCTATTATAATTCCATCGTAAGATAATTTATTATTACTATTTCTCGTACTGTAAGTGCCATTCAATTTGACTAATGACAGAATGTAGTTCCGCAGATGCTGCGAAGCCTAATAAATATTATGGATATTAATCTAGTGTAATCTACAAAAAAAAGAAGTAGGAAGCTGGTAGAAGCATAATGCCAACTGTAAAATATCAGGTTCACGAAATTATATACAATAATTTTACGGACTGAATTGCTTAATGTTTTTAATAAAAACGCTTATATCTTCTATTTTGAACCTTATTGTGTTTTTGCGTTGATGAGGAAATTGTATGAGCAAAAAGAAAAAACCTAAAATAGTTCTAAGTAGACCACCGCGTTGCGCTACGTTGCGACTAATTTTATCAAGAAATCTCCTAAATATTAATATAAGATATTTTGATCATGATTATGATCCACAGTAAGTAACGAAGCGTTTACAAAACTTCGAAGCAAATCAGAGATTTTTTTTGTTCAACTTTACAATATTCGCAACGTTTAGTTTTTTTTTTTAATTATATAAGAGTGACAAAGGAATGAATCCTGTAACAAACTAAATAGTGAAGAGCACAGATGTTTTGTCACAAGTGAGGAATAATATGAAATGCCTGGCAGTCTGTTATTATACTGGTTCACTTCTGTTCAAATGGGAACACGGATGCACTGCTTACTAGACAGTAGCAATAAGCAAAGGTGTCCAAAGCAGATAGATTCCTAGGGAGAATTAGGAGCCTTATTACCTA